GGTTCCGGGGGCCGTGGAGGGAGGTCCCGGGAGCGGCGCGGGCTAGGGAGCGTGGAGGCCGGGGTCCGGGGTGCCGCAGGGCCTGTGGGGTGGCTGCTTACAGGGACTGGGCAGGAGTTCCGGGGCCTGGGGGTGGCTGCTCACAGGGGTGACACCTGGAGGGGTCCCTCAGACAATAGGCTGGATCGCCAGGAGGCCTTGGGATGTGGCTGGGGACAGGGGGCAGCAGCCTGGGTCCCAGAGGAATGGCTGTGAATGAGTGGAGCGGCTGGAGGGCAATCGGAAGTGCACCCGGGAGGTTCACTCGTGTGCCACCCTTATAGGATGAGGCCACCAGGGCCATGGGGACAGTGTGTATGTGTATGTGTGTGAGAGAGAATGTGTGTGTTGAGGCGGGTGGTTTGTCAGCTGGAATGGATTGGGGAGGGCTGGTTTTGTGAGCATTTGTAAGTCTAGGGACTGATCAGTAAGGGGACATTTTGGGGAATGGTGAACAGGCATGATGGGCAACTGGAGGAAGAATCTGGAAGGCTTCCTGTTAGGAAGGGAGGTCCTGGGGCACCTAGGAAGGGAAAGGCTGTTGGTTTTGATGTTATTTGTGAAGAGGCTGCTTCTGGACCCTGGGCGGAGAGGGTCCCAACATTAAGGAGCTAGGCAATGGGAAGAACAGGGATAGGCCAAATGTGGGGACCCATAAGAAGTAGTGTGTGTATGGGGGCGGGGGGGGGGCAGTTAAAAGCCAGGGACTTTCATGGGGAATTTATCTCTCTCTCACTCTCTCTCTCTCATTTTTTGTTTTTTGGTACCAGGAATTAAACCAGGGGTGCTTGACCACTTACTGAGCCACATCCCCAGCCGTTTTCAGTATTTTATTTAGAGACAAGAATCTCATTGAGACTTAGGGCCTTGCTAAGTTGCTGAGGCTTTGAACTCGCAGTCCTCCTGCCACAGCCTCCTGAACTGCTGGAATTATAAGTCTGCACTACCCCAGCTGGCTTCCAGTTTTGGTTATTTAGTAGATATTTATAATGCCTGGGCTAGCTAGGCCTTGCTGGGGTTTACAGCCTAGAACCAACAAGCAAGATCTTTTCCTCAGAGGTTACAGACTGGTGAGAAAGACACATTAAGTAATGAGTTGTAAGGGTTACCCATGTTACCACGAGGGAAGAGCAAACCTGGGAGCTTTTGGAATAGGTTGTACACTGAATTAATTACTCTAATCCCTTTTTCCCCCCTAAGGATAAATAGGTGTAGTTGGACTTGGTTTCCAGTTGGGAAACCACTTGTGCAAGAGCCCAAAATATTGGAAGGAGTAAAAAATGAGAAGTATTGGCTACAATTTAGAAAGTTGAGCCAAAGATTTTTAACTGTAATGGGAAGCCATTAAACATTTTTGATGTGGGTCATGTAATCAGATTTGCTTTTCTTATGTTGATTTATTTTGGGCTGTGGGCTAGAGATCAAGCCCAGGGTCTTGTGTGTGTTAGGCAAGCACTCTACCACCGAGCTACATCCCAGCCCCAGAATTGCATTTACACACACACACACACACACACATACATCACTGTACTGTGTGAAGCATGTTGAGGAAAAGTTGAGGTGCTAAGTAAATTCCCTGTCCCTTACTAACATGTATATTGTACTTACACTATGTATCAGGCACTGTTCTAATTATTGCCCCCCTTTACAGATGGAACTGGAACCCAAAGAGATTAAGTAGCTTGTCTGAAGTCTCACAGGTAGTAGGTTAGAAAGCCTGGGCCACAAACCAGGCAGACTGGTTCCAGAGTTCCTGCTCTACACTCTTAACGATGGTCCAAGTGAGAGGTAATGGGGCCTTGGACCAGGATGGGACTGACTAAGAGGGAATGTGGAGAAGTGGACAGGTTGGGAGGTATGAGGTAGGGTGCCAGGGCTTCAGTGCCTGAGTGAGCATGGAAGGGGAGAGTCAGGATGATCCCACATTGTGGCTGGAGTGACTCTGGGCCTACTAGGGCTACTTCTATTTTTATTGAGAAATAGCACTCCAAAGGAGAGGTATTTTGTAAATGAGAGATGGAAAGGAGATGAGTTCTGGTAAATGTACTTCAGTCAAGTGCCCCTACATCCTTTGAGACCATGAAAATCCCCACTCTGTCACTAATATAAAGTGTCTGACCTCAGGCAGGTTACTTAGCTTCTTTGAACCTCAGCTTTTTTCTCAGTAAATGAAGATGGTGAAATCCACCTCGGAGGGTTGTTTTGAAGGTGAAATGCAGTAAAAGCCTTTGCACTGAGTCCAGTACATAGTAATGTTCGGTAAATATTAAATATGAGTTGTTTACTAACCTCTGTTCTACTCTCCTATGATGAGATCTGTGCCCTCTCCATCTTTGAATCTGCTCATATTTCCCTTCCCTGACTTTTCTGCTCTTGGGGAGAAAAATGAGCTGAAATGAGTAATATTTGTGATTAGTCAACAAATAAGTGTTTCAGACCTTCTAAACACAACAGAGGAGGGAGGGCCCCAACTTCTGCTTGAGGGAGAGATGTAATAGCATGCCATCAAATAAGTAAATAAGATAATTTCTGAGAAGCATAATTAAGTTTTGAGAATGAATTTGATGGAATGATGATAAAGTAATGGGGGTGGAGCTGCCAACGATTAGGATAAAATACGTTGATCAAGTATGATGTCTCTGAAAGCTGACATTTAAAGTGAGATCTGAAAAGCATTGTCATTTTATATGGGGTGGGGGAGAATATTGGGAATTGAACCCATGGTTACTTAGTGGCTTAACCACTGAGCCACATCCCCAGCCCTTTTTATATTTTATTTAGAGAAGAGATCTCACTGAGTTGCTTAGGGCCTCTCTAAGTTGCTGAGGCTGGCTTTGAACTCACAATCCCCGCCCCCTCAGTCTTCTGAGCCACTGGGAGCATTGCCATTTTATAGATGAAAGAGTGGAAGTCCTGGAGAGTTACTGTCAAATTCCTTTATTCTCTCTCCCCTGATGTCACCATATCGTTTTGGCTAACTGAAAAATAGTTTGGATGTTGTCACTGTTAATTTAAAATATGTTAACAGTTTGTATCTTGGAGGTGTTAATTTAAAAAGTGTTAAACAGTGTTAGTACCCTGTTAAAAATCATTTTAAAAGCACTTTTTGCAGTACAGAGAACATTAGGTAGATCATTGATATGCCAGAGCAACAGATGGGAGACGAGAAGGGGAGTGGGGTCATCTCTACGTTCTATTTAATAGAGCTTGTTGGTTTTGACAACAGATTTTTTTTTTTTAATCAGAAAGGTGTAATGCATGGATATATGCTTGTTAAAATTTGAAATAATGATTTTAATATGCCTATAAACAATATGACAGAATAACGGAACTGCACTATAACCGTATAATAATGTAATTCTGTATATTTTGTTATGAATGCAGAGGTGACACCAGTCACGTATAATAGAAAGATAATAGCACACTTTACAGAGTGTTTCAAGGATGAAGTATGATACCACATGTAAAAGCACTTTGAAGTTGAGTGACCATTTAGTAGCCAAGCCAAGACACTTTTCAGAGTGAAAGGAGACACACGAGATGTATGTTCACCAATAAGTGTGTGAACAGCTCTTAAGTATTTGCTGCTGCTGTTGGTGGGACAAAAATGGATTCCCTTTCTTTTTCCACCAGTGCCAGTAGATTTGTCCAGCTTATTCCATAATCCACTGTTCCAGCAAGAGGATAACTAATGTACTTCAACTATTTCATATTTCTTTAGCCCAAATAGATAAGCAAGTTTGGCACTCCATCCTTGAGATGCACCATATTCTAAGCTTTGAGACAGAAAAACAGAAGATCCCCACACTGTTTTTTTGCTTTTTTAAAAAAATTTTTTTAGACACTTTTGGCTTGAGAAATTTACTTTGGCATCAGCAATTTACTTAGATTGGTCCTAAGGATCTCAGGAGAGACCAGTATTTACGTGGAAGAATCAAACCATCTTATTTATTGTTCTTTCTGCCCATGTTTTATGTGTCTTTTTGACATTATTTGCCTTAAAAATTACTTTAATGATTTTTAAACTTTTTGAAGGGGGCCCAGAGTTACTTTGCCATAAGGAATCTTTAACAAACGAGCCACATATAATTCATCTTAATAACTCATGAGTGGTGCTGATCTAATGATGAATCTAACAGGAATCTGAACAAACATTGTTTTTGCATGGCCTTACCTCATCTTAATTTAATATCAATAAAATAATTTCCAAGCCGTCTTTATTGTTTTTACAGGATGGACCACAGCCCACCCAAATTACTAATGTAAGCAATCAGATTGCTTATGGAAGGCTTCATGTATGATAATTTATGAACTCAGTGTGTATGGCTTTAGATGTGTTCAGCATGGACCTAATTGTTAAAGCGTCATTAACAATAACAAGGGTGTCATTAAAAATCATAATGCTTATACCATTTATATAAGCATTTAAAAATTTTTCTCTAAATTTAAAAACTCTAAACTTAGAGATAATAGAAGCTGCTCTCCAATTGGGGCCACACCATTTTGTTTGATTTTGTTTCTGTTGGAGTTGTGTTCTGCGCTTTATATGTGTTATTCCAGTAATTTTTGTCTGCAGAGAGTTTTCTAGGCAGCAGCTATCTTAAAGTTTAAGCCAGAAATGCATAACCTTGGAATAAATTTGAGGCAGAAGCAAATTTGTGAGGAATCATAATTGGTGAAAATTGTGTATGCATAAATGTATGAAATATATCTACATAGGTATATAGATATGTCTAGATATACCTTTGACATTTACTTTTGAACATCTTTAGGATGAAACAAGTTGAGGATTAAATTCAACATAAAGATAAGGATAATATATTTTTTTGCTTTTTTTCTAACATGGACTGGCTCTGTGTCTTTCCATACCATGAAGTCTGCAACCCTACAAAGAAGATAGTTTTACTCCCATTTTACAGATGAGGTTAAATGTTGGTCTGTGTGCACACACACAAAGTAGGCATTAGGTGAATAAGCAAACATTGGCTCCAGTTTTTGATTTGTAACCCAGGAGATTGTCTGTGAGAAGGTGTGCTCAGATTGAAGAGGGATCAGGCCCACGATAAGGAGGCCTGTGAGTGCCTAGACAGGGAATCCCCTCCCTGCCACAACTCATCTTCCACTTCCCTCTCAAGTCTCCCCCCAGCATTGGCATTGGCCCCTGCCTCTTCCTAACCAAGCCTCTGCTCATCCTAACCTGCCTCCCAGGACCTGTGATTCTAATCTCTCCTTTTAATTTAGGTCATGTTAGCTCCTAACAGCAAGCGCTTTGGCAGCTCCAGCCTTCCTGCTTCTGGACTTTTCCTGGTTTCAGTCTATTTTGTACACTGCTCTCAGCTTGATCCTTCTAGAAAGTTCTGCCCATGAATCTTTAGCAACTCCCAGTTACCTACCAGCAAAGCCTGGATTTAGTAATAGGGCATTTGTTAATATGCACTCTCAAAGTCCCATCCCACTGCCTATATGATGCTGGGTCCCACTATTTGACTTCTGTCATCTGTCCAGTCTTCCTGGTGTTCTAGTGCACTCAGGCCCCAGAGCCTGTCTCTCGCTCCCACACTGGAGCTCACAGCTTTCTCCTTACCCAGGGTGAAGGGAAAGGACTTGAACTTTCTTTTAATAACAACTAGCTAAGTGGAGTGGCTGGCGCATGCCTGTGATCCCAGTTGCTCGGGAGGCTGAGGTAGGAGGATAGAGAGTTCAAAGCCAGCCTCAGCAACTTAGTGAGGATGTAAGCAACTCAGTGAGATACTGTCTCTGTATAAAAGAGCTGGGGGTGTAGCTCAATGGTTGAGTGCCCCTGAGTTCAATTCCCAGGTCCAAGAAAAAGAAAACTAACATTTTGAATACTCTTCTGATTTAAAAACCAAACAAAAGGATATTTTCTCATTTCCAGTCTGTCTACCCCACTTACACTACCCGCTCTCTTGGTAACCCCTGTAATTAGTTTCTTGTCTGTCATTCCAGGTATCCAAACAAATGTAAGCTCATAAAAATATATATTCTCATCTCCCCTGATTTTTGTTTGAAAAACAATACTGTAATATTGTTCTCCACCTTTTATAACAAGGTATCTTAAATGATCTCTAGATCAATACATGGAGTACTTATTCTTTTTTCCTTATAGCTTCAGAGTACTCCCTCTTGTTCCTATGCTAAAATTTGTTTAATTTTCCCCTATTTATGTATATTTGGTTTGCTTTTAGTATTTGTTATTATAATGTTTCAGTGCATAATCCAGTGTCATATTGCTTAAGTACATCTGGGTTGTTGAGTCAAAGGCTCTATGTTCTTTGAAATTTTGATAGAATTGGTTGCCTTTCAGTTTTTTTGATTGATGATTTTTAAGTGTCAAAAGAGCAACTCAGCTGGGCATAATGGCGCACAGGGCTCCAGAGGGTGGGGCAGGAGGCTCTCAAGCTCAAAGCCAGCCTTAGCAATTTAGCGAGACCCTGTCTCAAAATAAGAACTTAAAAGGGCTGAGAAACACCCGTTAATTCAATCCTGGGTACCAAACAAAAAAAGCCACTTAGACTCAACCTCTTGATTTTCCCCAAGCCAAAGGGAGCTTTACTCCTGATCTCTGCCAATGGCCTGTGGCACTGTGGCACTCATTTAACAATCCCCGCCTCCCTGTGTGTGTATTTCTATGTGTGCTGTTTCTCCAGTGAGAGTAAAAGGGCTCAGGTCTTTATTTCATATTCCCAAAATTTGCTGAGGTACCTGTGGATACATCTAATTGGTCAGATCTTCATGTCTTTTGAACAAGTAATCACCGCTGTGGAAACGAAAATAAGGTGGTTGCCTGCTAGCCCTTGATAGTGGCTGGTTGAAACAAAGCTCTTTAGAAAGCAGATGTCCTGTGCAGGAAGCACAAATCTAATTTAAGAATATTTATTGAACATTTGAATGTATAAAACATGGTGTGAGAGGCTTAGGAGGAAACAGAAGGAATAGGACATAGTGCTGGCCCTCAATAACCTTTCTCCAAAGTAGGGAGGATGAGAGGAGCCTGGAGACTTGGCTAGTTTGGCCTGAACCGTGTTCTACATGTCTTTCAGGAAGACTTTTCTAACTGGTATATTACATTATATATAGAAAACTGCACAGGTCTTAAAATAGCTAGAAGGATCACAAAATGTGTTTCAACATTTTTAGATAGTTATCAAATTTGAAAAAATCAGGTCTTATGATAGATTCCCCTTCCTCATATGCTTTCTTCCTGTTCCCCAAATGCATTTACATTCAAAATCCACTGTCCTTAATATTAAGCATAAGGCCTAGGCATCTGGGTAGAAGATCTGTTTGGTGGGGAGGAAGGGACAACAGGATTGAAAAGAGCAAAAATAAGTAAGAGAAATTACTGAATAATTGCTTAAGTACATCTGGGGTTGTTGAGTCAAAGGCCATATGTTCTTTGAAATTTCGATAGAATTGGTAATAGCATCAATTCTGCCAGACTAGCTCACCTGTAGATATTTCCTTTTATTTATTTATTTTATTTATGTTTTTTTGTTGTTTTGGTACTGGGGATTGAACCCAGGGGTTCTTAACCACCAAAGCCACATCCCCAGCCCTTTTTAATATTTTATTTAGAGACAGGTTCTCACTGAGTTGCTTATGGCCTCAGCCATGCTGTCTTTGAACTCTTAATCCTCCTGTCTCAGCCTCCCGAGCCTCTGGGATTACAGGAATTCGCCACCACACCTGGCTCCTTTTAGTTTTGTTTCATTTAAAAAATTGAAACATTGATAGTTTTTTTAAAAATCATTTTGCATTTTAATCTCTTTGAGGACTTTTATTTTTCTGTTTCTTTAGATAACATTGTATGTGTTTTAAAACCAAAAGCATTAGTTCATGTTTTTAAAATATAAAACATCTGACAAATCTATAGCTTGAGCAGTCTTTCAAAGCCATGCTTGACAACCAAACCCAATTCTAAAAATGTCTATCTCATGCTACCACAATATATTTTAAAACTGCAGTCCTCTGCCTTCCCAAGTTTTATCTCCGCTGCACCTGTGCTCAGAAATCCTCCTGCCTACACACAGGAACTATTGTTTAAAGATTTTGCTGTTGATTCATCATGTAGCCTCTCCAGGAATTATTTACACTTTAAAAATTCATTTTTTTAAAATGCATTTGGTTAAAAAGGAAACCAAAACCTCCCAAAATAAGCAAACAAAATCTTTGTACAATGGCATGTAAGGAATTACATTTTTTTTCATCTCTTAGATGTAGTCCCTCTCATCTGAAACAACCACTATTACCAAGGTTGTTTTGTTTTGTTTTGTTTTTGGTATCAGGTACTGAACCCAGGGGCACTTTACCCCCAGGCCACATCCCCAGCCCTTTTTATGTTTTATTTTGAGACAGCCTCTCCTAGATTGCTTAGGACCTCACTAAGTTGCTGAGGGTGATTTGAACTCACCATCCTGCAGCCTCAGCCTCCCAAGATGCTGGGATTACAGGCATATGCCACTGCACCTGGCTGACTATTACTAATTTTATGAATCCTTTCAAAGATATTTTCTGACTACACTCATGCCTGTGTGATGTACGTACACACACACACATACCCGGTCTCAGGCTCCTCCATTCTACACATAGCACAGCACGTTGTGCTTCTCCGCACGTTTTCATTTTACTTAACAAAAATAAGATTTCTTGGCATCAGTATAGACTCCAATCTTATTTTTTTGGCTGCATACTATTATATGAACATTTCATAATTAAACCAGTCTCTTCCTGGTGAATATATAGGTTTGCAATATTTCAACTACAGACAGCACTTCTACAAACAACCCTTTATACCTTCCTTGGTGGGTGTAGGTGCACATATTTTTAAAGCCTCAATTCCTAGAATTAAACTATGGAGTCAGAAAGGTGCATGCACTCTTCATCCATTGGCCTTGGAGAGTTTGACAGTGTGCACCCTCTGGTATATGTGAGTGCAGTTTCCCAATGCCTTTGCCAACCTTTTGAACGGTCAGGTTTTGGTCTTTGCCAGGCTGATGGGAAATGGCATTGTAGTGTGGATTCCCCTGGCCTTTTTTGTTATGATCCTGGTCCAAACACGAGCTCAGGCCTGCCAGGCAGGCAGGTTGGGACCCCACTTGTTATAGTCACTGGTGGTCCATACTGCTTTTCTGTTTTTCTCTTTTCCTCAGGGCAAAATGAGACAGTTTTGTTAAAAAGAAAGAAAAATAAAAGAAATTCTCATGGGGAAACTTAAGATAACTGTATTCTACTTGTATTGTATCGGTTTACTCCCTTCCCCTGACCAACTTCTCTTTTCTTGTCCTAGTCCGCCACCCTTTCTTTTTAAATATTCTTTATCTCTTCTCACCACTGCCTTTCAGGACAAGGAGCCCCCCTTCCCATCAGGAATTGAACCCAGAGGCACTTGACCTCTGAGCCACATCCCCAAAAAACAGGGTCTCACTAAGTTGCTTAGGGCCTCTCTAAGTTGCTGAGGCTGGCTTTGAACCTGTGCTCCTCCTGCCTCAGCCTCCTGAGCCGCTGGGATTACAGTTTTGTACCATGACACCCAGCCAGACAGGTTCTTCTTTTTTTTTTTTTTTTTTTTTCAAAAAAAAGTTATCCAAGAATTTATTTTCTTGGTTGCTTATTTATTTATTTTTATTTTACCTGAAGATTTTTTCTCTTTGCCTGTGATACCTTGACACACAATAGAAAGTCACTTTCTTAAAAAAAAAAAAAAATTTACACATATATACGTATTTGTAAGATACACATCATACAATTTATCCACTTAGCCATTTTTTATTCTTTTTAGATACATATAACAGTAGAGTGTATTTTAACATATCATACATACATAGAGTATAGATTATTCTGATTAGGATCCCATTCTGTGGTTGTCCATGATGTGGGGTTTCACTGGTTGTGTATTCATATATGAGCACAGGAAAGCTCTGTCCCATTCATTCTACTGTCTTTCCCATTCCCATCTCCTCTCCCTTCCCTTCATTCCCCTTTGTCTAACCCAGTGAACTTCTGTTCTTCCCTCCTGCTTGTTGTGAGTAAGCAACTGCATATCAGAGATAACATTCTGCCTTTGGTTTTTATCATCGGCTTATTTCACTTAGTACAATAATCTCCAGATTCATCCATTTACTGGCAAATACCATAGTTTCATTCTTCTTTGTGGCTGAGTAATATTCCATTGTGTGTATGTACCACATTCTCTTTAACCATTCATCTATTGAAGGGCACCTAGATTGATTCAATACTTAGCTATTGTGAATTAAGCTGCTGCAAGCTTCATCACTGTAGTTGCTGATTTTCAGTCCTTTGGGTGTATACTAAAGAGTGGGATATTAGTTAGCCATTTTAAAGTATACAATTCAGTATCATTAAGCACATTGACATTTCATTTTTTAAAATATTTTTTAGTTGTCTGTAGACATTTATTTTATTTGCTTATTTGTATGTGGTGCTGAGGATCGAACCCAGTATCTCATACATGCTAGGCAAGCACTCTACCACTGAGCTACAACCCCAGCCCCAAGCACATTGACATTTCAATAATTATCTTTTCAATGAGCATCTGAGTAGTGATATTGGTTATTTGTCCTGAAAAGTCACAAGAGCCAAATGGTCATTTTAATTCACTTTGCCCTTCTCTCTTCCAGACGAAGTGATACGGAAGCGTCTCCTCATTGATGGAGATGGTGCTGGAGATGATCGAAGAATAAATTTGTTAGTGAAAAGTTTCATTAAGTGGTGCAACTCTGGATCCCAGGAGGAAGGGTATTCATTTCACTTGTCTCTATGCCAGTGTACTGATGTCATTTTAATAAGGTCCTGTTAGTGTTTTAAGTTTTCACTCACCAAATTGTCCACTTAAATCACTTCTTGTTTCATCAAAAGATTTGTTTTTTTCTTCTCTTCGGAGGCCTTATAAAACAATCATGTAGAAAGCAGGTAAAAGAAGAAATGAAGACTAAATTCAGGCTCGTTAACATGGTCACTTTTAGCAGATAAGTATTTAACAGGACAAGATAATCTAAATGAAACGTCTTTCCTTTGTTAATAAAGTTCCTGCAAGATATCTAGGTTTTTAACAAAATTCTTCCTCATTTGGATTCACTTTCCACAGAATAAGTGTAACATACATATAGAACGGAAGAACTATGAGAATAGAATTGTGAAAATAAGCAGACTTCTTAATCAAAATAATTTTTAAAAATGATTTAAACAATTCAGACAGATTTGCTTGAATTAAGCCTACACCGATAAAAACAATAGGCCCGTCTTACGTTTGTAACCATAGCTGTTTATAAAGGCAGATATACCACATTTGGAAAAAGAAAACATAAGGGATGGATATTCTAGATTTTTTTTAAAGAAAACATTTGTCTCAGAATGTGATATAACTTAATTAGCAAAGCTTTGCCTGCATTAAAGTAGTTTAATTTTAGCAATCCACAAACATCTTTTTCCTCTTTTTTCCATCAGATATAGCCAGTACCAACGTATGCTGAGTACACTATCTCAATGTGAATTTTCAATGGGCAAAACTTTGCTGGTGTATGACATGAATCTCAGAGAAATGGAAAATTATGAAAAAATTTACAAAGAAATAGGTAAAAATAATAAAGTTTCTGTCTATATTTTTATTCTTTATGATCTAAAGGAAAAATACCTACTAACAATATTCTTGGGTTAGTGATAAAAGTTACTTACAATATTAATAGAATGCATACAGTAAGTGGTATCTGCAAAAGTTTATAATGTGGTATGATGATTGAGGTTACAGCTACTTTTTTAATACTAGCATCTATTTAGTTAGCAATAGGACTTCAATTTAAAAACATTTTTTAAAATTGAAAATGGATGTGTTGTTATTAACTATCTTTTAAAAAATACCCTTTTGTATAGAATGTAGTATTGCTGGAGCTCATGAAAAAATTGCTGAGTGCAAAAAGCAGATTCTTCAAGCAAAACGAATACGAAAAAATCGCCAAGGTAAGGGTTTTGAGGGATTTCATGTGCAAATACTTTACTACTGACTGGTATTTTCATGCAGTTTTTAATGTGAGGTAAAATCAGCAGCCAGAATCGATTTAATTGACAAAGAGAATCAGGATGGGACTGGGGCTGGGGCTCAGTGGTAAAGCGCTTGCATAGCATGCATGAGGCACTGGGTTCGATCCTCAGCACCACATTGAAATAAAATAAAGATATTGTGTCCACCTAAAACTAAAAAATAAATTTAAAAAAAAAGAATTAGGAGAAACATTTAATTCTTAAAACCATAAATAGAAAATAGAAAAAAAAGGAATGATCTGCTGAAAAAAAGTTTTTACTGAGATGTATTGATTATCCAGGTATTTCTTCTGTCTTCAGACAATTTTGCCTGAATATTTTGTTTAATCAGCAAAAGTGATTTATGTAAGTACACTAGTTATAGGGTCGATTTGTTTGATGAGAGAGAGAGAGAATTTAAACACAGTTGGTTTTCATTAAGTATAAAGGAAGCAGATATATTCAGGCTGCCTAACTATATAACAAGAAAAAGTTAAAGCTTAGTTTTATTCTAATCTTTCTTTTTAACTGGAGTATACCCTTATCTAGTTCATATACTTTCAAATAATTTTTTGAGGGGGTACCAGGGGTTGAACTCAGGGGCACTCGGCCACTGAGTTCGATCCCTGGTCCCCCCCCCCCCGCAAAAAAAAGTACAATCATAATTATGATAACATATATTAAAAACTGGAAGAAAATAGAAAATGTGAATAGTTATTTGGGGGTTGTGGGTTTTATTATCTAGGTTTTCTTTGTTTTTGTTTTGTGTTATACTGAATATCTATTATATTATAATGGAGGTTTTTTTAATTTAAAAAAATCATGCTTAGTAATATACTGAGTTCCAAAACAATAAACTTCACGTTTTAGAGAGCTAATGAAGATAAAGTTTTATCCTGACGTCTTTTTTTTTTTTTTCTTTTAGTTCTGGGGATTGACTACAGGGTGCTTTACCACTGAGCTACGTCCCCATATCTTTTTATCTCTTCTTCTGGCCTCAAACTTGCAGTCCTCAGTGGTAGAGCACTTGCCTCAAACGTGTGAGGCACTGGGTTTGATCCTTGGCACCACAAAAAATAAATAAATATAGTAAAGGTATTGTGTCCACCTACAACTAAAAAAAAAAACCTCCTGGCTCAGCCTCCAGAGCTGCTGGAATTAGATGCACGCACCACTAAGCCTGGCTTATTTCCCCTTTATAAAAGGTGGCTTTTGTATTCAGTTCAAAGTATGTATGCTGAAGTTTCAGTGGCCAATTTACAGCAAAATATAATAACATAATAATTAATATCAATGCCAGATTATTTAAAAAAATATTGCAAAGGATTTTGATTGAATAGGAGACTTTTAAGTGAACCTCACTATTTACCATTTCACAGAAATGTTAATATAAGCAATAAAACTTAATCTTAGAGGTCTCAGTGAAGCAGCAACAATCATCTTAATTTTGAAGTATTTTAAAGTTTCTGAAGTTTTTACCTTTAGAATGGTGAGGAAATTAACAAATTAACAGTAAGATATGTTTTTCTCACTGATTCTCGCCCCTACCACCACCACCACACACTCTGGGCAAAGAGTAAGATCCTTTTCAGATTCAGTCCACTTGATCGATAATGACTTAAAAGTCATTAATGCTTATACTGACTTCTTATATTCTGTACAGGACATGTTAGTGGAAAAACAGAATCTGGAGCCAAAATCCTTGTATTTAACACTTTTGATGTCACAGATGATTATCGTTGTGGTTCAATCAAGTGGCATGGCAATACTCCCATCCATCGTTGTTTTCATTTCTTTATGTACTAGGAAAATGAGTAGGAGACATGTGTGATACTATGCGTTTTCTTTTGATATTTAAGGTTTTTAAAAGAAAACTTGGTAAATGTTTTTATGTCTTTCAGAATATGATGCTTTGGCAAAAGTGATCCAGCATCATCCAGATAGGCATGAGACATTAAAGTAAGTTTAGAGCTTTTCCTTGCAAAGGAACTAACCTACATAAACCTACATAAACATTCAAGCATACTCATCTATACATTCCATTTTTATAAAATAAATAACGTGTCAAAAGGAGAAATCAAGATTTTCAACATTATATATCCTAACACTGTTTGATTAGATCCTTTTCTTTTTCCAATCTTTCTATCTATAGGTCTAAAATGCATGTGATGTGTCTCAATGGGAAAATGGATAAATAGAATATATTCTATTCATGTAATAAAATACTAAACAGCATAAACTTAATAAACTAGATATATACTTTTTTTTTCTTTTTTCTCTTAGTACAAGGGATTGAACTCAGGGGCACTCTACCACTGAGCTACATCCCCAGCACTTTTTATTTTTAATTTTGAGACAGGGTCTCACTAAGTTACTGAGACTGACTTTGAACTTGTGATTCTCTGGCTTCAGCCTCCTGAGTCTCTGGGGTTACAGGTACACCACCAGGCCTAGCTAGACATATACTTTTACAACACAGATCCCCCAAAAAAATCAGTGAGGAAAATGACAGACACATGAGTTTTAAATTATTTCTAATTTTCTACATACATATAGAAAATAACCATTTGTAAAAGTTAGAAAACACCAAGTATTATTTATTAATACCATATATTATCAGAAACACAGATACATGCATTAAAAAGGGATTGGAATGATGCAATGACTGTGTGAATGGAAAATAAAGGACAAAAGAAGACCTGAGGTAGGGGACTAGAGAAGAGGATGGGGAGGGAGGTGAAGTTCAAAAGGTATTTCAAGTTAATCAGCAGCAGGTTTTGTTTTTGATTTTTTTTTTTAACTGAAGAAAAATCTTGAAGTTAGTATGATAAAAATGTACTACTTCTTGAGTTTGGTTATTCTATTATCTGAGTTTTTCAGTACTTAAAATCTTTATAAAAAATATACCTTTTTTGGGCTGGGGTTGTGGCTCAGCAGTACAGTGCTCGTCTAACATGTGCAAGGCACTGGGTTCGATCCTCAGAGCCACATAAAATAAGTAAAATAAAGGCATTGTGTCCAACTACAACTAAAAAAAATTTTTTTAAATAAATAAAATTAAAAAATGAAAAATAAAAGTATAGCTTTAATGAAAATAGTGCACATTTAGTAGTTAAGAAGTTCTAAACTTTACAAGTCTCACATAATGGAGTATTTTAATTCTTTTAAGATGTATTAAAAATACTATTTAATACTTTAAATGTTTGATTAGAATTGTAAGTTCTATTTCCCAAAACAGCAAAAAATAGCACTGTTTTACTTTTTTCAGAGAATTAGAGGCTCTGGGAAAAGAGTTAGAGCATCTTTCACATATTAAAGAAAGCGTTGAAGATAAGGTATTTGCATATATATATTTTTTTTCCCCTTTGTTTTTTTATGGTGTATATGTGTGTCTGTGTGTGTTTATAGATCAATTTCAATAAATTTTTTCTTCTTGTTAATATAGCTGGAATTGAGACGGAAGCAGTTTCATGTTCTTCTTAGTACTATCCATGAACTTCAGCAAACATTGGAAAGTAAGTAGAAATTATCTCAAAATGAATGTTTATGAAGATTTTTCAGTGATTGAAAGGTGTGCCTTTTACAACTTGGAGAGAGAGAATACCTTCAATTTGTAAATAGAAGAATATCTGGATGACATTAGAAGACACTCGTTTGTTCTACTTTTTAAATATATGCAGAAGCATTTTAATTTTGTAGTAACTGGTTTAAATATATATCTAGTAGTTTAAATAGGAAAAATTCAAGGATGTTAGATAACAGAGTTTTTTATTGGTTTTCTATGGTTTATTACTGTAAAGTAATAAATCAGGCCCCAGGAAGGCAATGATAAGTAATTTGTGCATAAGAATGTTTGCACACCCAGGCCAGGTTTGGAGGCATTCACCTATAGTCCAGCAGCTTGGGAGACTGAGGCAGGAGGATCACAAGCTCAAAGCCAGCCTAGGCAACTTACTGAGGTCCTAAGCAACTCAGTGAAACCCTGTCTGTAAATAAAATACAAAGTAGGGCTGGGGATATGGCTCAAAACCCATTCCTGAGTTCAATCCCCAGAACCAAAAAAAAAACCTTTTGCATACCCAATGAATGGTAGGTACTTTGAGGGAAAATATATCTTTCCCTTAGATATATACTTTTAAAACTCAGATTCCCAAAAATAATGAGTGAAAAAAAATGAAAGACATGTAATGAATTTTAAGTCACTTATAAGGAAGAGAAGACTTGCTATTGATTATAGCCAATTGGAAATTTCTGTTCACTTGATCTGATTGTCCCAAGGCCTATGTTTATTTTTTAAGTGAAATCTGTCATACAGATTTTAAATTTTGATTCAACTAATAACAACCACCAAACAGCATTTTTAAAATCAAACATTTATGTGAGACAGTTGCAGTTACAGACTGCCATTTTGCCATCTTTTCTTTAAAAGTATTGGCTAATAAAAGATAAAAATGTTTCACATGTGCATTAAGCATAAAATGTTGGCAAATTTGACTAAGGTTTTGTGTTTCTTTTTCAATTACAGATGATGAAAAGCTCTCAGAGGTAGAAGAAGCTCAAGAAACAAGCATGGAAGCAGATCCTAAGCCCTAGGCAGTCGAATCACTGTTCCCCCAAAATATTGAAAGAGCTACATAATCTTAGTATGTTTAGAATTTGTTGTGCTCTTGACATATTTGAAGTTTAGCCAGTGAAGTACTTTGCTATTAAATATTAATGTACATCTCATTTATATTTCTTCATACAAAGAAAAATGGCGCCAGTATATATGTTTTTATTGAAATGCATTTTTCATTCTTAATAAGTAGGAAACAGCATCCAAAAATGTTTAATAAAATATCTTTAAGTTACATGTTTGTGCCCATTAGTAACTGGTGACATTGACTGCCTTATAAAATAAGTGAAGACTGAGAAGGTGGCATTTATAGGGTGTATATATGGGACGATGAGTCAAATTCTGGAAATTATTACCACTTTAGAAAATGAAAATGAAGTCCATGAATAGGCTTCAGAAGGACCATGAACCTGTGAAATTACATGCACAGTGTTTATGGTGTATGTTTACTGTGGGAAGAGGTACTGTGATGTTAAGAATCACTGGTGTCAGAGGTAATTACAAGATCCAAAAGTAAATCCATAGGCATTGCTTTCTCTTTCACTCTCCCTCTCTCTAGTACTTAAAGAATATAGTTGTTAAATGTTTTAAGTTTTTTCTCTACTGTTTTGACCTTTAGAAGTCATTTTCAATCAAAAAATATATTTATAAAATGAAAAGTTATTTGAAGTAAATAGTTTAAGATGATCTTGCATAGAGGATTTTTTAATCGTAAAAATTGAACTAAGTCTGGATAGTTTGTAATTTTCTTAAGTATTACACATGCAGTTCTTGTTAAGTTCCATTCTCATCCATTTATTTTAGTTCAAAGACATGACATTTTCCATGAATCATACCTTCATTATGTTACGTTTTTATAATTTTAATAAGACTTTTTATATTTAAAAATGAAAAGTTTAAAATTAGCTCAGTAGTAGTCATATTAAGAGTGTCATAATACCTTTAAATGCTTCCTCTAATTTCATCTGGCATGTTTCAGGAGAAATTTCTTTGCAGAGTTGCTATACCCTGACAAAAGTTTCTTTTTCTCATTATTAGCGAGAATCATTAAGCAAAAATTTGTGCCTATGGACTCAGACATAGATATCAATTTTTCAAAAGCGATCCTTTAAAAAAAAATTCTTGGAGAATGTTCTTTAAAATTCACCCCTATCTTTTAATTCACTAAAGAGATTTATTCAGGATTATGTACCAAAAATAAAAGTCCTACATAATTAGCTCTTTTATATTTATTTGTTTTTATTTTTTATTTATTTATTTATTTTAATTTGTTCTAGTTAGTTAGCTCTTATCTAGTCAGAAACAAAATCAGAAGCAGCAGGTACATGGGCAACACATATTTTTCAGTTTATACTTCCACATGGTTCTCTTGGATATCTTCTGGAACTGCTTAGAAGACTGAAGCATTTTATCTCCTAGAAGCTCACACCGTTGAAGCTCAGCATGTCTTTGGGCCAACAGTTTCATGGATTTATCCAACAATATTTCTTTGAGGTCATCCGCCTGTGACAGATGAAACCACGTGTTGGAAACACTTGTCAAAACCAAAGAGATAGATGTCTGATGTTTTCAAGCCCCTAAGTGTTATTCTAATTCAAGACATAGCAAACAGAGCTTTAAAACATAACATTTACCCCCTGGTGGTAAAGATGATCTCTTTTCTTCTAAGAAGTCTACATGTATACCTTCATTTTAATGGAATTCACTTAATATTTATGGGGCACAGAGCACCATCGAGGTGCCCTTAGCAACCCTTTGGCCACTCTCAGAATGCCCCCTGCCCTGCTAACATTATTTCTTATTGCTAATTGTTAATTATATTCAAGCTGTCTGGGAGGGCTATGTGTTTAGTTAGGTTGGGTCCTCTGATGCTTCACACACAGAAAGTAAAAGCCTTTGTCCACTACCTGCATCTGAAGGTCTTCTATTGTCAGAATTTCACGTTTCTTTTTTTTAAGAGTTGGAAAGTGTAGTCTTTTCTTTGGTGAATATGGTACCTATTAGAAAAATGCAAAACAGATCAGATCAGAAAATACCAATGCTATTTCTATGATGATGCTTAAATAGGAATTCTCACCCTTTGGACACTGTTTCATAAAGTGAACATTGGCCACATAACAACATTGGGTTGGAGACCATATTCTTATTATTCTCCATGCCCCATGTATCTCCTTTGTGCCCAAAGCTTCCTTTGAAGAGATCTATAGGATGCAGAGAAATTAGATTGTCTGGCTTCGAAAGAATATACAGCGTCAGGGAAAAAAAGCAGGTCATTCGTATGGGAAAGAAGAAGAAATTGCCTCTGCAGCTGCTGAGCACAGTGAGAGTGTGGGGCTGTTGTGGACCAGTGCCCCAGAAAGCTCATTAGCACTGGATCCAGTTGTTAATTTGATCTCGTTTCTGCAGGTTTCCTTATTTTCAGGGCAGTCATGACACCAAACATAAAAAGAAAGCTCAGGGTGCTTTTTCACCCCATGCCTGACACCTTTCCCACTGTCCTTAGCTTGGTGGCTACAAGTAACCTGTCCTGAGAGTGTTGCTGTTGGAAATTATTCCTAGGTCATGGCTTCTGGCTGATATGCCTTTTTTAGACTTACTGAGTTCCACTGCTTCCTTTGAACTTAATAATTAGCACAAGGATTATTGTGAAATCTATACAGAGTGGGATGTGGGATTATGTCAGGGTCCTAGCCTTTGCCTGACCAGGAGCTTACAATCTGCTGAACCGCGGCTGCCCTGCCAGCTTGCCCTGGCTCAAATGCCACTTGCAAGACCTTCCCTGATCACTAACCAAAGCAAGACCCTTCTGTTTTCTCTTCCAGAAAATCTTGTCCTTTTTCCTACTGAGCATCTACCCCACTCAGTAATTGCCAAGTTATTTCTGTGTGTTCATTGACTGCAACTCTTACTAAATCCAGTACCTAGGCAGGATTTGTAAACCAGGATCCATGGGTCTGTGTGCCCTGACACAGGTTGCCTGAAGGTGGATGCCTCTTTGCTGCCCCTACTGGTTACTCTGAGAATTGCTTTGTGTTTCCAAATCTCCCTGTTTCAAAAGAAAGTTGAAAAAAATCTAGATTTTTATTTGAAATAGTCTGATTTTCAAGCATGGATGATTGATTCAAATATAATTTTGAGAACATTGTGGGGGAAAACCAAAAATTTTTATAACCAGTTGCTAATCTCTGCTTTAATGTGTTTCAAGACATGAAATTCTTATTTTAATTAGAGCCAAATTTATCCATTTTTATCTTTAAGGTCAATGCTGTTGTGTACTAGGAACTCCTTGTCCTGAAATAATGAAGATACTTATATTATCCTCCAGAAGTTTTAAGATTTGTCTTTCCCACTTTAAACCAACAATAATTAATTTTTGTATGTGCTGTGAAGTAAGGATCCAATGTCATTCTTTTCCCATATGGATGGCCACTTGTCCAAGTGCCATCTATTCAAAACCTTGTCCATAACCCCACTGCTCTGCAATACTATGGCCCACAGTATTTCTCCTCTATTAGCCTGTGAGTGCCACAAAACTAAGACCATTGTCTACATTAGCCCCCCAAACTAGAAATTGCCCAGAACATAGTAGGAGCACAATAGATATGAATTTTGCATGCAAGTGGCCAAATTCAAAGTTAATATGGGTTCACTCTGACAGCAATGTTCCAGAGTGCTGTTTGATAAAACTTGCTTTGAATCTGGGCATACTCTATCAGTGCTATTCCCAATACAAATGCTACTACCTACCTGTGGTTATAAACCACTTGAAATGGAGCTAGTGCAACTGAGGAACTGGATTTTTAATTTCAATTAATGTAAATAGTCACATGTGGCTATTGGCTACCATATTAAACCAAGAAATTAGTACAATTAATACATAGCATAGTTATTGTGACTGAGGGGCTAGAAGTGCAGCTCATTGGTAGAGTATGTGCTTAGCATGCTTGCAACCCTGAGTACTCTTAAAAAAAAAAGTGGCATGGGGACTCTAGAGCTAGGTTTGCTGTATTTTGAGGCATGAGATTCTTATTAAAGCTAGATTTATCCATTTTTATCTTTCCTTGGAAACTTGGCTTTCTACTCAACTGGGCAAATTACTTAACCTCTGAGAATCATCCCTAAAATAAGGACAGTTTTGCTACCTATCTTATAGGGATGTTGCAATAATTATTGGAGCTGATATTTTAAAAGCACTTAGAACAGGGCTTGGAACATAATGTCAGAATTTTTGCTTTTTTTGTTTTGTTTTTGAAGTACTGGGGATTGAACCCAGAGGCTCTCTGCCACTAAGCTACTCCTCAGTCTCCCCCCACCTTCCTTTTAAATTTTTGCTTTGAAATAGGGTCTCACTAAGTTGCTAAGTCTGGCTTTGAACTTGTGTTCCTCCTGCCAATCTCTTACATAGCTGGGATCACAGGCATATGCCACTGCGCTCATAGTAGCCAGCTGAGTAAGTGCTTAATATACATAAAACAATAATAGGTCAGGTTTCTATTTTTAAAAAATAGTCTGCTGGGTGTGATGGTATATGCCTGTAATCCCAGGAACTTGGGAGGCTGTGGCAGGATCATAAGTTCAAGACCAGCCTTAGCAACTTAAGGAGATCCTGTCAAAATAAAAAAACAACAAAGGTCTGAAAATGTAGCTTGGTGGTAGAACTCCTAAGTTCAATTCTAGTTACCAAAAAGAAAAAGAAAAAAAAAATGGCTCATGAACTGGAGTCTCAGCTACTCAGGTACTCGGGAGGCTAAGGGAGAAGAATGGCTTGACCTCAGGAGTTTAAGACCAGCCCGGGGGACCTTATTGCAGCAGTGCACTCCTGTAATCCAGGGGCTTGGGCGGCTGAAGCAGGAGTATCACAAGTTGAAAGCCAGCTTCAGCAAGTTAGCAAGGTCCTAAGCACCTTAACATAATCCTGTCTCTAAATAAACTGTATTTTAAAAAGGGATGGAGATGTAGCTCAGTGGTTAAGCCCCCTTGAGTTCAATTCCTGGTACCAAAGTGGTGGGGGGCAATAATCATCGGCAAGGGCAACATAATAAGACCCACCTGTTTAAAGAAAGAAAGGAAGGAAAATAAAAATCCAGTTTTTAAAATTATGACATTTAAAAAAATAATCTGGGTAACTAAAGTTTATACATACCATCTAGCATGGCACTGTTTATGCTGTACATGTGGCCATTTCAATTAATTCAATTGAATATCAATTAAAATGAAATGAAATGAAAAACTCAGTTCCTCAGTGGCCCTGGCCACATTTCAAAGTCTCAAAAGCCTCACATAGCGAATGGCTACTTGACTGGACATTGAAAGCTGTGTTGTCTCAGAACGTTGATTGGATGGACAGCACTGGTCTTGTGAATTCCTCTCCACACAGCACACAGAGAGAGGCCAAATGACTAACATACTAACTTGACATTGAACAGTTGAGCAAGTCAGCCTGAAGTTCCAAACTCCCCTGATGCCCAGACTATAGAAGGAGCTGAAGAGTTTGAGCTTGGAAGTAGAGGAATCAGACCTGGACGCCCCTGTCTCTGAGCCCTAAATTCTTGGAGAAAAGACACAAACAGCAGATTTAAAGGATTTA